AATCATATGTGGCTTATGGCACTGGCGTCATCGAACGCTACACCGGCAGGTCTTCGCCCTGGTTATGAAAGACTATGTCGGCTAATGGGCGCACTAGGTAGACTGCGAAAATTGTAGATCGAAAAATGCCTCACTAACAGGAGCTGTACAACAGCAGGTCCATCAGTGCTGAAAATTTAAGCGAAAATGACGTAGATAGTAGTCAACAGTGCAGTTGTCGAGAGGGATCCAGTTCGTAACTCGGGAGGTTTACCATTTGTCCTTCATACGAGCCACATCGTTAACCCACCCTCTCTGCGAGTACATCCCAAAATCGTGGCTCACGCCAAATTACCGGTTTTGGAAAATGGCCTCGAAGATATATCTAGCATATTCTTCTTTTCATCGCTCTCTGCGTTACTACGGGTTTCTTTTCCTCAGTATCGGTGGTGGACCAACACTCAGTACCATAAATCATGGTGAGAATGCCGGCGGAATACAAAAGTTTTTACTTCAGGGACATAGACAGTTCATCATCTAGCAGCAATGTTTTCATGTGACAGATACTTGCACATGTCATCTGCCTTTCTGATGATCTCGTCATTGATGTTGCTATTGAAGTCTATTAGGTAACTGAAATATACATAGCAAGTGACTTTTCCACTTCTTCGCTGTGAATAAAAATATTACCCGTGGGCAGCGCTTCTTGCACATTCATTCTGTCATGGACATGTTGGTCTCCAGAGGAATGGCACGTGGTTCCTGCTGCAACTGCACAATTTTTGTTTGGAGCTCGGCCGAGTTTTTGGCGAAGATGACTGCAAGTTCTTCGTCAATATAAATTCTGCCACCACCGATTCGACGGTTATAGAGGGATTCCAGCACAGTCGCGAAAATCTTAGGAGGGATGATGTTTCCTTGGCACATTCCCTTTGTTTTGATGATTACATACAGTTCCTCGATGAAATTGGCGTAGATAGGGTTCATACTGCAGACCTGTTAAGTGTTCATTATAGTTCAGCTCAAAGCAGCCACGCTTCTTGAAGTCGATGAATGCGCAGCAAAGCGGGAATTCGAAATTCTTGCATCTGGGTTAAATACTCCACTAATGGCTGTGGTCTGTAGTGGAGAACCCTATTTGGAAATCCGCTTGTTCTTAACTATCGAGCAGTATCAGGTATTTCAGGTTACAGTCGAGATGACTCGGATGAGGACCTTGTACACTTATGACAGAAGAATGAGGGTTCAATAGTTCTGGAGGTCCTCAGCATCACTTTTTTTGATTGAAAGAGTAATCGTAGAAGTGCCATGCTCCATTCGTCTTCTGCCTGATGTATCCTGTAAATCGTCCGGCGAACATTTTGTGCAGGATCATTTCTCCTACCTTGATATGTTCCGGTTTTATGCCATTCCTGCCCGGACATCTGCCATGCTTGATATTTTTGACTGCCCTCATTAATTCGGCCAAGGTTAATCAGGAATATGGTTTCCGGTTTGACGGTTAGCTTTCGGTTTACTCCTACCTTCGAGGAGTAGAGGTTATCGTAGAACATCGCACACATCACCTCCATGCGACGGAGATCTGTGGCTTTTTATCTTTTTCTTTCTTTAGTGCTAAGAGAATTTCCCTTTTTAGGAGGATGTCCTTTTACATGACTTCTTTGATGTGACCTCTTGTAGCTTCGTTCACCTATACTCGTCACAGTCATTCCAAATGTTTTTCCGAATTTCTTTGCAGACTGTAGTGTACTCGTCGTCTAGTTGCCGTCCCAGCTTTATTATAGTTCCGCTGGTTGGTTAACCAGGCGCCAAGCCGCAGGGTTGGTGTGTTGTTATACGTCGACATTCTGACCAGATAGTAGTTTTGATAGCATCGATGATGTTCTGGAAGTCTGCATCAATGTCTATGCTGTTGAATGTTGCGAGATTCAGCTGTGGATGCTTGTCGGCAAATTATTCAAATATTCGTCAAATGACCGGGGGTTTTTGATCCTTTCAGCAACATCGTTTGTAACTGTGAAGCGATATGATCTACGGTCTGACCTTATACAGACAAGGTTTCTTCCAATAACAGAGACATTCACTATTACTCGCCTTGTATCCGTCAGCTCGTAATAGTTTGGTTATGAGTCGTTCCATCAGGACTCTTCCCAGTAGTGGGAACGTGAACGTTCGTATTTCGCTCTGTATTTCCCAACCGCTCGATGAAACGCTGTCTCTGTTACTTCCTTCCCTACTATGGCGGTGAAATCTCTTTTGACAATAGTGTACGAGGAAGTATTTTACATTGCACTTTCTACTTCGTCGTAAATCTGTTCCACTTCATCATCGTCTGCGTTTTGTGTTGGGCTGTAAAGTTCGATTATCTTTAGTGGTCTAATGTTCATCCGCAGAATTAGTATGGCGACATCAGATGAAATAAGGTCGCAGGTAACTACAAACGGTACACTCTTCTTCGTTAGATGAACTGGGCACCGAATACCTGAGCCCGTTTTCATGAGCTTTCCATAGAAATATCTGATCACTTTTTTTCTATCATGGGATCTTCAAATTTCGCACATGCTGAAAGAATCTGTTTTGATCTTCTTCGCCTCGTCGTCGAGCTCATCTCTTGACAGAGTTCTGAGTTCGGAACTTCCAGGGCACTTAAGTTCATAGAGTCGCTTTTACAGTCGAAGGACTGCAGATTGAAATCCGAGTCAGGTTAGCTTATTCGTCTTTCCACTGTAGCCAAACAAATATTATCAAGTGAAAAAGAAACGGCAGGCCTTGTGCTCTACTAAGCTGTCAGAAAACTGTAGACTTTGCCTTTTCAAAATTGACAGCACTCCTGACTGAAGGCATTGCGACGTTATCTGCTCTATGAGAAAAGGTGCACTACAAATCATGGAAGTTTATCTGAGATCAAAGTCTCACCAGTTACAAGTTTCCCGTTTCTCAACATCTTGTCGAATGAAGTTCTGAGACTGAGTACAGTGTAGGTACCGTAAAATGAGTTCAGAAACACACTGAGCAACGCTATCGACTACTTAAGCCGAACTGTTTAGTAGAAGTATAAGCCGCACAAACGTTTTCAAGATTTATTCTCAAACTCGCAATACTAACAACAGCTCTGAGCCTGAACTACGCTTCAAGCATGGCATCAGTGGACAAAATAAAAACCGTTAAGGAGATTCTCTAGTTATATTTTCGTGAACAGTGGCTGCTCGCCCATGTGGAAGAAGATAAACTATCAAAGATGATACAAGGAAACAAAACGTATCTCTTTTACAGTCACCAGCCAAGCTGCCCCGGCCTACAACAACAACTTACGCCGTCTCGCCTGATGAACAGCCATGCTGCCATTAAAAAACGCCTAAGTTCAAGCGCATCAGAAAAAGGACAAAACGGGAAAACGTGACATCCTTTCATTTCTTCCGAACCGGATTCGCAACGACCTTGAGGAATTTGGAATGCCATGACCTGCCTGGTATTTCAGTAAGGAAACTTCTAGCGCAATGGAAGTCTTATGGACGGTTAGTCAAAGAAGAATGTTCCGCCGGAGGTCAGCCACCGTCAGAGACTGTTCGACACATCTTGTTTTGGTAAACGTGAACAGAAATAAGCTTCATGAAGGAACTGAAATCAGCCGCCAGTCCGAAACAAGATCCGAACAAGATCTTCTTGTTCACATTTATTTCTTAGAGTATTTCATATTGAAACCCAAAAAAACAGTCATTCGGATGACTGACCAATTATCTGATTAAAAATATTAGTTTCAGAGCTGTGTAAAATAAACCAAACATTTTATGCTGTTTGTCAATTTTTTTCTGCATTCGCCTTAAATTTATGGCATACTTACCTTATTGTTTTGCTGACTTGAAAACTGCCTCACTTTATCCTTCAGTTATCATGCAGAAGAAATAAAAAATGCCAAAAGCAAACACTATTTGTAACTTGGCATTCACAACGGAAATTACTGCTAATTATTCTGGTTTAATGAAATCAAGCTCAACTAATTATATACGCCAACACAAACTCATCTTGATGACTCAGATGAAGGTTTTAATGAAGAAACAGAAAAATTACAAAAACACAAAGACCTATCAGAAATGTATTATTTATTATCTCAACGCCAAAGTCGCACCCAGTGGACTGATACCAGTACGATAAGGGTCACATCGAATAGAATTCACTGAAAAACGGTATCTTGCATTGACATCATGCATTGTCCAGAAAAATTCTAGCCGAAAACGAACATGAAATGATCAGATAACAACTAGAAACAAATCGACATCAGCCTTAATGAGAAGAAGACACAAGGCGCATTTAAACGCTTCACAACAACCTCTGCTGATCCACCTCAAACGAAATAACTATAAGACCCTCTATGCTGTTCAATAATAGGCCTATGTACATCGCAAGCGGTTGCTTTTCCCATTGGCCTACCGTCTTTTCCAAGATGACTGCTACCATATCAGTTTGAACGGCCATTTTCTGTCAAATTTTTTTCTATTAACGTGTTTTTCAATAGTTCTTCTTGTTATTTGCTCGTTATTTTACGGTTTTGCGTATATATTTTTAAGTCTTGGATAGAATAATACTATTACGGAATGGCACTAATCTTTCAACTGATTCTACCACTGCCAATCGATAAGAGTGTCTATCTTCCTGACATTATTTAGCTCCAAAATAATGTCGGAAAGTGGAGAACGGTAAACTTCAATTCAAACATCGACCACACAACCCTTGCCATTCCTCTTCATCAAATTATTTAATATGCGTTCAGAACTGTAGTCGAACTCACCGGAATATATTTCGCCACCACTTAACCGGTCAGCACCAAAGCATTTTGTATGGCTCCGGTAGCGACCTAAAGTCGAATCACTGGTCAAGTGGACGACGAAGCCTTCACCAACAAAATCATCGAGTACGGAGCAGCTAAACACTGCCATTTCCAGAGGCCATTGTTTACTGACATCACCATCCTGATGCCTACGGCCGACTGCTGAGTTAACCACCACTAAAACAAACTTAATAGCATTATTCATCGTTCGTTTAACAAAACTCAACAAAGGAAAGCAATAGAGCAAGTTATAAACAAACATATAACATACAGCTGCTGAAAAATTTTAAACATTTCATCAAAACAAAAAACAATTTTCAATACTTGAGTCGTTGCGAAAATAAAAACCATTTCACAAATAAACTATTAATTATTAGCTGGATGGACCTGAGCTTTACCATGTAAATTGCAGTCATCAGAGAGAATGGCCGTAAATGTTGTACCTTATGGCATGAACACTATGTTTCCCAACTGTTTACAGGTCAACCACTTCCTATCCATTCCTCGACTGGCTGCAATAGAACATAAGGAGGAAATTCCTATCTC